AAGATCTTGAAAATACACCCAAAAAAAAAAAATCTTGTCAATTACTGTTGGAAAATTTCATGTTATTTGTAAACTGATACTGTTTTTGATTTATGAGCTTCAAATTGATTAATTATAGGGGTAAAAGGCTCGAAAAAGATCTTATTTTTGTTAACCTTTTTCCATTTTTAGAGTTATTATGAGGTTGAATTTGTTACATTTGGATATTGTGAAGTTATATGAATTATAGTTGAAATTATTCAATAGATTTTGAATTAATACTAGTAATTTACTTGGATATGGAACTCGACTTCTGAAGAAAAAGGAATCTCAGACATGTTAAATGCCATCATGAACCAACTCAGTAAAGTTCAATATTCTGGACGGTCCTTTGGTTGTGTAAATATGAATCTTTGGATAGAGTTAGGCAAGGATAGTTGATATCTATACCAATCAGCTGACCATATTATAAATGCTTGAGTTTGTATTTCAAGATTTTTTTTTTTTTGAGGTTCTGTTTTGTTTTTCTTTCCTAGTTAAGAATTGTTTATGAAATTAGTTTATTGATGCTTATTTTCATGTTTTGGTGTCAGTATCATCCTGATGTTAGCAAGGATTCACGAGCTGGTGTGGTATTCAAGAGCATCCGTCGTGCTTATGAAGTGAGAATTCCTTATATGCTTGTTTCCATGTGATTCACTAATTGCTAGATTTGACTGTTACCTTAAATTTGGAAGGACATTTACCTTGATTTGAAAGGATCCAATTTGGTAGGTTGAACTAGCAAATCTTTGTAGTGTTGAACTAGATGTAGGAAGAAGTCGGTGCTGTACAATTCTGTGGTGGGATGGGTGTAATATCATAAAAAACTATGAATAATCGGAACTCTGTTGCTTATATGATAGAAATTTTGGGTTGACAAGAACAACGGTGTGGGTTTTTCAAGCATCAATATGGCAACACTACACAAAATTAGTAAAGGGTAGGATTGTATCCATCGCTGCTTTCCCTGGATTCATTTTTGGGGAAACAACACTGGATAATGACTTTCTTAGGAAGAAAGAGAAAAAAGGGGAGAGGGGGTAAAGACCGAGAGAGAGCGCTGTGAATTTCTAATCCTAACGCTTTTGTTTGAATTCCCTAAGTATGACCAAGAGTTGCCTTAAACTTCTTATCTTGAACATTTCCTTCTGCATGGGCTGATATTATGGATTTCTAGGCCATGGATACTTCAACTAAGATGAAAAATTCCAATATAGCTGTTATCGCCCTTTTATGAACTTTTGATCTGCTAGCTTCCCTCCTCTTTATTTTCACACTTCCCTGTTCTTTTGCTTTGTATTATGTTTTGGAAATCAATGAAAGATATTCTTAAAGTATTTTCCCTTCCAAATAGGTATTATCTAATGAAGTAACAAGGAATCAGTATGATCGTGCACTTACATTTCAAGAGGATATTGGGAGGTCATATAAAGGAAAGTGGAACTATAGTCCTGAGTTTGAAGATGGGATTAGAATAAAGAGGTGGGCTGAGGTCAAACGAAAAATGCGAGAAGAGAGATTTCGAAAATGGTATAGGGTGAGCGAGGAGTATTCTTCCTTCCATGATGAAAGAGATGATGAGGCTGCAGAAGAAAACCTGCATCAAGAGAGAGGTTCATTTATTGAAGTTCTAAAATCCGCTTTCATAACTTTGTGTTTACTTCAGACATTTGGGTCTCTTTTTTCTCTCACCTTCAGTAGCCTAACGGCTCTGTTGGATAAGAAGTTGGATGCTGGATATAAGATTGGTTATGTCATTGCATGGGTTTTAGGCGGGAGAGGCGGCATTTTGCTGACTTTATGTCTCTCATTTGCAAGTTGGGTTTTTGGGAAAACCAGCAGCAGTATAGTTGTTGTGGTTGTTGTAGCCATGTGGATTGGCTCCAATCTTGCAAGATATGCTCCTCTTCCTCAAGGTGCCCTCCTCACACTTTTGTATATGTCAATCAAGCTTCAAGTTGATTTAAACTAATCCTTTCATAACATCATCTGCAACATGCATTGTTTCTTTCTTTAACTGTTGGTTTTGTACATATGTTTGTCTATAGAAATGTAATAAAAATGCCAGTTGGTTGGAAAGAAAATTTCAAGAATGTGGATAACATGGTATAGAATATAGATCTAGGAGTAAAAATTTCGTCTCTTTAGATTCCAGTTTCCTCTGTCTGAAAAGAACAAGAAAAAATTCACATGTTTATCTGTAACATTTATTTGATACAAGAAAAAGAAGAAAAAACTAGTTTGACATACTTCTACAATATGTCAAAGCTGTTAACAGGTCTTAACATATTCATCATTCTTCAGTTCCTTGAGATTCCTCCACAAATACCTCCCACTAGACATGTCAACAAATACCCAGAATCCATTCTGAGCCATCTGAGATTCAAGAATAATGAAAGAAACAAAAAGAAAATGACCCAATCAAGAAAATCTGAAACAGAAACCAAGACAAAAGGAAAGATTTCTGGAAAATAAACCATTTCAACACATACCCTTTTGAAACTGAATTCTTGTTTGTCTTTGGCAATTATCTTCTCTGAATCCTCAGAAACTAAGTCGTGGATATCAGATGATGAACGTACCGTCCTCCATGCAACAAACCCTGCTAAAACTGCTGAGAAAAACACCAACAAGAATCTCATAGGACACATTCTCCTTTTTCTTTTTCCTTTCAAAACCAATGGAAAACAATCTCCGCCTTTTTTCTTGTCTTCAATAAGAGGGACAAAGCATTGAAGATTCTAACCCCAAACTTCGTTTTTTGTTCCTTTGTTTTTCGGATGACAGATTGGATTTGTTAGTAATGTAGACAATGGAAAGATATGGGCGACCAATGCATTATGTCAAAAAGTAAATGCTATATGGAAGCCACGTTGTTGGACTCACACGGCTTTGGTATTGGTATTATTTTATGGTTTTACAATGTCAATAGTGGCTCACCATCTCCATTAATAATTGGTCAACAGTTTACTTTTTCAGTTGTGTTTGTGGGAAAATATAAAATATTAATTGACAGCTTGGGAGTTTCAGGACGTAACCCAAAAAAAAAGAACAAAAAAAAGCCCTATCTGTCATATCCAACTATCCAAATCTCCTAACAGAAACTTTGTTTTTTATGAATATCCCTTATTCATGATTCCCACACTCCCTTCTTCCATTTTATTTTTGGGTTTTTTTTTTTTAAGTTGAAATGGTAAGTTAGAGTAGCCCAATTGTGCTTATATATTACATTGGAGTCGATTTCAAGATTAAATATTTCAAGTTTGAATCTAAATTGAAATTTAAAAAAAAAAAAAAAAAACCACAGCATGGAAATGCTGACTTTTACCTCATTGCATAATATGGGCCCAATCCAATAAGATTGGACTCATCAGTAGTAATTAGTCTATAAGGGCAACGTCCTTTCATTTAGGGCTAAGACCCTTTTCTTGGGCTAATATAAATGTCCATGTAAGGTGCCACAGTCCACAAAGTTATCCAAAACTGCAAACTTCAATTAATTATTACTTTACTTGCTCTTTGATTTTTATTTTATTTTTTTTACTTTTAATGCTTATTTCAATCAGTCAATTACTGGCTTGATAATTCATCTTCAAAATATTAGGACATGCAAATGTTGGGATTTGAGTTTTAAATGAAGATTGAGGTTTATTCTTAAGACAATGGAGTTTGAGCTTTTCACTAGCGTTGAAAAAATTGAATTGGTCAGTTAGATGGATTGAAAAAATTGCTTCATAAAAAAATCATATCGTGGTTCCGATCATAATTGCTTGTTCAACTTAATAAAGAGAGTCAAAGACCAACACGAGATGTCAGTGACTACAAATGCCCATTGTTCCGATTATGAAACAAGAACAAAGGTTTTTGTTTATGCCAAAATGCGACCTTAGGACGTTCTTGAAAAAAAAAAAAAAAGATGATGACAGATAGAGGTAGAAGGTTTTTTCTGTATTTACATTTCAACGCATAAATTAAAAAAAAATGACGTCGAAAAGAAAGTAGAAAGGAAAATTAGGAGTAAAGGGGACCTTGGTTCATAGGAGGACATTTTTTTAATTATTAGAAAGTGGGAACCAAATTTCAGAGCTTCCGAAGCCACCTCTTCTTCAGTGGCAGTTTGGATGAGATTATCAGAGTTACCAGTTGAATACTATGATCTTGACATTCTTAAAAAATTTGGGAGACATGTCGGGATGTTACTTAGAGTTGAAGGACACACTACAGCTGGAGGAGGAGACTGGAATGCAAGAATTTGTGTTCAATTAAGCTTGAAAAAACCATTACCAAAGTATATCGTAGTTGAAGACAGGAAACAAGTCCGCACAGTTCGCGAGCTTATTCGTATGCTTGGTCTGGAATTATGATTATTAGTGAAATACGTGCACTGGGTGATGATGTTCGTCAGATTATTGACCTGCCATTTGACGCATATCATGGACTAAATAGTTTTTTTTTTGTTAAGTTTGTGAAATTTTTTTATTAAAATAATTAAATAAAAAAAACTAATAAATAAAAAATTCTAGTTAAATAAATTATGTGTGTAAAATTTAAAAATAAATAATAAATTTTGAATTTTTTAGATAAAATTTTTAATAAAGATTTTGAAAAAAATTTTATGAAATAAGTATTTATAAAATTAAAATTATAAATAATATTTTTAATAAATTTTTATGTATTATTAATTTTTATATTAAATTTTATTAATTTAAATTTTTTATTAAAATTTTTATTATATCATTTTAAAAATAATTTTATATACTTCACTTAAATAACTTTGTTTTTATCCTTGTCTGAACTATTAAAGGTTCAAGCTGTGGCTTTAAGTGAACCGTACCAACGTAATACATGGACCGGAAGGCCAAGAGAAATCTGTGAGCCAAATTACCAATTCAATTCCCCAATTCCTATATGAAGAGAGCTTAGTCCAAAGCACTATTTTATTTTATTTTTTTGGATAAGTAAAGATTTTATTTATTCATGGAGTGGGAGAAATTCCTACCAAGGAGAACAAGTTTGCAGCTTAATGCATACAAAGGAAAAGATTACAATATCATAAAAAACTCCATTGTTAATAAAAATCAGAATTTGCTGAAGAAGACAGTGAACAACGCTGGCTGCAATTCTTAAACAAATTACCTCTGGAATTTGAGATACTAGTTTGCTGATAGAGCTTGGTGAACTTTCATGTTTTCTACAAAAGGTGTGGAGATAAGCATAATAGCAGCAGATTAGCTTGTGCCCAAAGTGTTATCTAGGCTTCTTTCCTTCCAAACATGGTATATCTCACCATTCCAAGCAAGTCTAAGCAAAGTCAGAGCAGATGAGTTTCCTTTTAGACGAAGTTTAGCCGAGTGGAATTATATTCATGATTCTCAATCAGAAGCCGAGCTATGAATATTTCTAGCTCCAAGCATTACACCCATTTTTTTTTTTTTTCTTATTCATATGAAAATGAGTTTGTTTCTTGTCTCCTTATCATCTGTACAGAATCTTTATTTCACCGACAAGGTTTTAACTCTCATAACCAAAGATAGACAACAAGTACAAATGACCATGAAACATAGAGAAATCTTTCCGGACCATCCGTTCCAGTTGTTGATGCCATAATGTTGCGTCTCAGTGAAATTTGCATTTGGAGCTTGGCCCGTTTACCCCATCAAGCCTTTATTTCTAAAATTAAACGAAAGAAAACCATTAAACTGACAGACCTGAAAGGTTTTCAAAAAAAACGAAGAAGATCCAGAGAGAAAAACCACAAGCTGAAATCAAATACTATCACATTGTTTCTCAGAACAAAATTCAATGAAAAGGAAAAGAAAAATAAATCAAAAAACAAAATAAACTATAGCAGTAGACGAGCGAGAACTCACCCATGGAGGAGGAAATTCCAAAACCGTTTTTATAATTTTTACTTTGCAGCCTATTTTTTCTTCAGCATCTGCTACAAAAGGTGGATATGGTTCCATATTTGTTAATGTCAATTCCATCAACGAGGTTAAGTTCTCCAAACCATCAACCCCTGTAAGTTTCTTGCAACATCTGATCTCTAGTTCTTTCAAATTTTTCATGGCGTTGCCAACCACAGTCCACTTCTGCAATTCCTCAAGCATCCACAATTTCAATACTAGGAGCTTAGGAAATCCATCATGGTGACAGATCATATTTTGCCCCTCAAAGGAATGAGCATAAAGCCTCAAGACCTTAAGCTTCGGTAGTTGCCCAAGAGCTTCCATTGGATCTTCTGATAGATTTGAAACTGACAAAGTGAGGACTTCAAGATTTTGAGGAAGTTCATTAACCTTGATTGACGTCTCTAGCTGCCCCAGCAAATACAATCTTGATAAATTTCTCAGATTCTTCATCCCCCCTAAATCAAGTTTTGCAGGCTCGTTTGAGTCACTTATTGATCTCAACTTTAATGACTCAAGATTGGACAAGTTAGAGAGCCAGTTAGCAGCACTAACTTCCATTGATGCTTCTAGGTATGTTAATTTCAATCTCCTAAGCCCAGTCAAATTGTCCAACCAAGTCTTGGGAATCTTCCTTCTGATTATCAACCCCCATAAAGTCTGAAGACTGCTTAATGATCCACAAGCCGATGTCTTTTGAACAGACACATCAACATAAATCTCGCTCATATATAGATGTTGAAGTTTCTTTGCCTCCCAAATGGTACTCGGCATAGTGATTATATATGTCTGCTTTATGTCCAATGTCTCTAGGTGAGAGAGACCACCAACAGATTCTGGAATTGAATCCAAAAGAGTCCGTCTCAAGCCTAGATATTTCAGCTGACGTAATTTGCCTAGTATTTCAGAAAGCACCGGTTTATACACACCTTCCAAATCGAGCACTACAAGCATTCCAACGCCTCCCTTAACAATTTTGTTTAGCAGTTCACCTACTCCTGATGTTGGAGCATCTCCTTTTTTATCGTAGAATGAAATGTAAGTACGAAGATGCTGAATGCAGAATACCGGAGGTTTAGTGTCCTTGTACATATCTTGTTCTGCAAGCCTTCGAATATTACGTTGTGGTGACTGGGATGTAACTGAACTGGGGTGGATGTGAAAAAATCCAGCTTTCTCTGCATTTAGCAGCAAGGTATCGTATAATGTATTCGTTACACGACATGTTTTAGGGCTTCCATCTAACCTTCGTTCTGCTATCTCAATCATGTTTGTCCTTAATAGCTCCTCAAAGCAACTCTTCGCCAAGTCTTCAAGGGAATTTTTTCCCCCTGTTGGCTGTGTCACCAGTCCCTCAGCAAGCCATAGCTGAAGCAACCTCCTTACAGGGATCTTATATGGTCTACGAAATAGACCCAAATAAAGAAGACAACACTTTGATGAGAACGACAAGTGCTGATAGGTCACAGCCACGGTATTTGACAAAGAGATTTCAGCTGGAGAACTCGATTCATCAGAGGAAGTTGATTTATCTTCAGCAGAAGTTGCATTACCGATATCAGTCACCACTTTCTTCTGTTCTGTCTGCTCAGTGGCAAACAAAGCCACCTGATTTGGATCAGTCAGTTGATCATCTCCAGTGGTCGTATACTCCGGCGTTTTTCTCTTGTTATCTTTTCCCTTGGCATCTGAAGGAACCTGTTGAACCGATGAGCTTGACTGACCTTCAATAGAATTCTTCTCCTCGCCATTTGAAGAACCCACCTGGTTTGCCATTATCGCTTCGTTCTTTTCATGTTTTTGCTCCACTTGCCCCGAGGAGCTCAATTGATCTTTACCAGTCATGCCTTTTTTCTTTTCGCTTCTTTTATTAGTTTGCTCCATTACTTCGGACCACTTCGTATAATTTTGCCCTTTGGTAGACAACAAACCTCCAAGCAGAACTATTGTAAGAGGTACACCACCACATCTTTGCAAGATCTTTTCCTTCAAATCTGACGGTATCCGTATATCTTCTATATCTTTTTTTTCCTTCTCTTTAAACAACTCCTTTTTAAACAACTCCCAGCTTTCATCCTTGTCTAATGGGCGTAAAAGAACTACAGCCTGTGGATTCATATGGTATGCAAGATAAGCCTTACGAATAGTGAGTATCACTCTGCTGCCGTTTGATGAATTGGGGAAGACGAGATTGAGTCTGTTCCAAATGACAGGCGTCCTAACATCATCCAAAACTATCAAGTATCTTTTCCAGGTCAAGAAAAGCCGAAGCCCCTTTCGTAGTTGCTCAACAGATAAGCTCCGGTTCTCCGTCACCTTTCTGAGCTGTCTAAATAAATCAAGCAATATACCTCTCTCTTCAAAATCTTCAGGAACACTGATCCAAGCCCGACATTCAAAGTGCTGCTTACTTGCGATGCTGTTATAAAAGGTTCTCACAACAGTTGTCTTGCCAGAACCTGCCCCACCAGATACAGAAACGAGAAAATGCAATCTGTAGCTGTTGAGGACTAGTTTCGCTAGTTCTCGTAATTTATCTTCAAGTCCAACAATGACTGATGCCCGGTCCATGATATCAGAAAGACTCTCCCAGCGTTCTGCTTCGTGCCCTTTTTCTGAAGCATTTTCTTGCATATCTTTCAAATCATGTAACAGCTCTGTACAAGAAGTAATTTTGAAAATCCTCCGTGCCACATCAACTTCTTGTACATCAAGAACCACCCTGCTACCGTTCAACGAGTTCGGAAGGGAAATTTTGATACATTCCCAAGTTTCAGCTGTCCAGAGATCATATAAAACTACAAGATACCTCTTATGAGCTAAGAAACTGCGAAGCTTCTGTCGCAATGACTTGAGGGGCAATAGTATGTCCTTCTTATCACCTGCAACTTGCCCCCAAATGTCAGTTAAAAGATCTCTTTCTTTGAACACCTCTGGAACATGAACCCATGCACAACAATCGAAATGCGACTTAATAACTTCTGCATCATACATTGCCCTCAATAGAGTTGTCTTGCCAGAGCCTACCACGCCCACAAACGAAATGAGAAATGACAGCCTGCGACGACTGTGGATTGATTTAATTAACTCATCTACCACAGCTTTTGCACTAATAAAACTAGAATCCTCCTCCAAATAGCCAGAAGATTTCACCAAGTATGGTTTAAGCCATTCATCTGAAGCTTTTCCAAATGATTTTGAGCCTTCACTATGAGAAGTAACTAGAATTACCCTGCTGCCATTTAATGAGCATGGGAAGATAGGTTGAAGATTATCCCAAAGAAAACCCTCCTGAACACCGTATAAAACTATCAAGAATCTTTTCCAAACCAAGAAATCATGAAGTCTCTGCTGCAGCGATCGACGGGTCTCCCCATCTTTTTCCTTGTCATAGTTGCATTGTTCTAAAATGGCGTTTACAATTTGTATTTCTTCAGACAATTTAGAAACATTTATCCAAGCACGGCAATGGAAATGTTGTTTAACAGTTTCAGCATTGTATACTGCCGACAGTAGAATTGCCTTACCAGAACTCGACACATCAGCCTTTAAAATGAGACATTGCAACTTGCTTGAGCTGAGGACCGGTTGAGCTAACTTGTTTACTAGACCCTCCATAACTAATTTCTCCTCTAAATAATCAACAGCTTCCCCGCACATGTCGTCCGAAGCACTTGGAATAAGGGCTTCTTCGTGACCATCTTCATGTATATCGCCGGAGTAAGTGGATTGAATGTGCCCCGCTTCATCTTGAACTTGCACGTCATTCGAATTACTAGGAAGCAACATTCGGATCTGCGAACCTTCAGCGTCAGTCACTGTACCCGGCGGGTTGTCTTCAGAGATGGGCGGTATTCCAGCACCAGATTCTGAACTTGTTGGAAGTTGCTGTATATCGCCGGAGTAAGTGGATTGAATGTGCCCCGCTTCATCTTGAACTTGCACGTCATTCGAATTACTAGGAGCACCTGATTCTGAACTTTTCAAGCTACTAGTAACCAACTTTCGGACTTTGTTTGTTAGTTTCCCGATCTTGTTGGTCAAACGCATTTTGTTGCGTAAGACTTCCTGGCACTTCAAAGTTGTCCCGCTCCTGCATATGAGGGGTTCAATGATGTCCTCCAAAGAGTAAATGTCCCGAACAAGTTTCTCCCATTCTTTGTCAGTATTTTCTTCGTGATCATCTGCACCTTTTAAGGTATCCCGAAACTTTTCTAGCTCCTTGATGCACTGATCGCTTTTCGAATTTGAATAGTTCATATCTTTACACAGCAGATTGAGTTTTGTTCTCAGAAGCTCTGTTATTTCCCAAGCCATGAAGTCTCAACTCTTAATTCTCAAAGCCCTCAATGCTCTATCCCAGTTTTTCGCACGATGAAAGCCAAAAGAAAGGTAGCAAGCCACGACCACCCTTGTCGTCGTTTGTCTTCTAAGGCACCCTTTGGAAGCAACTGTGGGATGCAGTTACCGTGAGAATACGTGCTGATATTTTGGCTCCGTGTTTGGTGAAAAATGATTTTCACATTTTCAAAGATTTATTTTATAGAAATTTGATTGATCCAGATCAATAAAAAATAAAATTATTTTTTAAAAAATTATTTTATGAATTTTAAAAAAAAAATATTTTTCAAAAAAAACTGTTTGTTAGTATGATATTATACTATATTATATCATATTAATAAATAATATACTATTAATATAATAATTAATAAATAATATAATACTATTTATTTTTTTATGACTTAACTGATTGTTTATTTTATTTATAAAATATCATCAATTAAAAGGTAATGACAAAAAATATCTTAATTAATGGTATTTTACAAATAAAATAAACAATCAATTAAAATATTTGATTTTTTTTACTATTAAAAGTATTATTTATTGTTTTAGATATTTATTATTAATAAAATAAAATAAAAAGTTACAATCATATATGTAAAAGTTATTATGATAATTATATAAAAATTAATATATATTAATTTTCTCTAACTAAATAAATAAATTTAAATATTAGATATTTTGGAAATTAAAAAAAAACCCTAAAATATTATAAATTCTCAAAAATTATACTTTTTTCTTAAATTCAAAATTTCACAAACCAAAATCTTTTTTAAATTTTAATCAATCAACTAAACTTAATATACATTGAGATTTTTTTAGAATTAGGGATGACAAATTCATCTATAACTAACGGTTTCGACTTGATTTGATTGTTTATTATTTATTTTTTTAAATTAATTTTTGAATCGAATTAGATAATAAAAAAAAAATTTGAAGTTTAATTGAGATCAAACTTTAGATAAATCTGTTTCAATATGATCCAATTCGATATATATTTATAAAAAATTATTTTTAATTATTTATTTAATTATATATTATATTTATTTATATTTATATTAAAAATAATATTTTATATTTAAAAATAATAATATTTTATTAAATTTAAATCAAATTAAATTAAATTAAATTGAAATATAAAATAATTTTTAAAAAATTATATCAAATTGAATATAAATATTAAAATATAAAATTAAATCAAATTCGAATAAAATCAACTTTAACCCGACTGATCGGTGCCTATTTAGAACGCTTTAGTCTTTTCTTTCTTCGTTTTTGTCAGGATTCCTCACTTTTCAAAGACTTTATTAAAGTTTAGATAAATAAAAAAAGACCTTGACTATGTGGAAGTCTGTCACGCACTCACGCTGACACTCAAAATGAGGCTTCTGCATGACCACAACTGTTTAAAATACACATTTTGCCCTTCTCCTATTTACTTTTTTATAAAAAATAAAATTATCAATTTTATATTTTACTTTCATTCCTTTTATCTATTTTGATTTTTAAAATTAACAGTGTTACTGTAAGTTAACTAACTGACATGCGTACAAAAATTAATCAACATTACATCGCAACGTCAATATTAAAAAGTGATTTTAAAAATTTTTTAAAATAATTCTAAAACTTTTAAAATCTAAAAAAATTTTAAAAAATTTTTCAAAAATTCTTAAATAATTTTAAAAATTATAATAAATTACGAAAATCAAAAATATTATTTAAAATTATAAACAATTAAATTTTATGAAAATTTCAAAAAAAATTTAACAGAATTCACACTTAAATATATTGTATTTTAATATAATTAAAGTATACTGCTCTGTACAACTAAAAGTGAAACAAAATTAACAATCTTAATATTATCCTATTATATTTCAATAGATAACATAAATAATAAAATAATTTATTATATTAAATTTCATAAATGTCTATAATCAACTCGTTATAAATTCAAAATGATAATGAGCCATCAAAAATGAAAACCAAAATATTATATTCCATTTGTTTTGTAAAAATTGGTTTTTATAAAATATTTTTTGGAAATTATTTTCATTTTCTAGAAAAGTAAAGACTTTTTATTATTTAGATGAGTTAATAAAAATATTTTTTATTTTTTGTTATTTTTTGAAATTTTTATTTTTAAATAATATTGACTAACTATTTAAATATTAAATTTTGTTTTTTATTAAAATATAATTAAATTACTTATTATATAAATTACTATTATTAAAAATCATATTTTAATTATAAATTTTAATATTAAAAAATTTTAAAACTATTTATTATTTATATAAATATTTTAAAATATTTACAATAGTATTAGTATTCTTTAAATATTATTTTATTAATATAATAATATTTAAAATAGTAATATTTATTATTAAAATAGTAAAAATATTTATACTATTAAAATAGCTATATTTTAAATTAAAAGTATCTATTATTAAATTATAATAAAAATATTGTTTATTTATATTTATTATTAAAACAGTAATATAAAGACATTAGTCAATAAAATAAAAAATTTAAGTAAATATTAAAAATATTCATTTTATTAAAATAATATTATTATATTAAATAAATTTAATTATTACAATAATAAAAGTATTATTTACAAGATGGAAAATTATTATTAAAATTTTACTAATAGGGGGAGTGATGATAGTCCAAGAGAGAATGTAAATTGGATTTTTTCAAATTTTTTATAAACAATTATTTTGATATAATTGAGTGAAAAAGTAAAATCAATATTAAAATGTGATTCAAATAGCAATAAATTGATAATCTTAAAACAAATACAAAGAAAAAAGATAGAGATTGAGAAATTAAACATAAAAATTTATAAAGATTCGATCATTCTTCACAAATCACCTATATATATATTTTTTATTATCCACACTAAGGCTTCAATTTATTAATATTGAATTAAAAATACAATCTTATCTTTTTTTTTTTTATAAGATTTAAGATAGAAACATCTATCATTTGTAGTATTTTATCCAATTTCATTATAAAACTCTCAATAAGATACCTCACTTCTTACTCTTTTTCTTTTTTGTATATCAAAAGTAAATTTGTAAACAATAAAATAACCCCTTTAAGGTTAGGTTTTTGCTAAGTTTAAATATAAGAAAATAATAAATGAACAACAAATATAATTTGGATATAATAAATACAAATATAAAGATTTTAAATATCTAAACTCTTGATTTATTTGAGAGATATGAAATATAACTTGTTGATGTTTACTCTCTTGATTCTTGCTCCTTTTTAATATGTTGAAATGTCCAATATATAAAAAATAAAAATAAAAAACTAACCATTTGGGATGGTTTTGAGTTGAAAAAAAACCATTGAAGCTTGAAAAACTAGTCATTGAAATTTTTTTAGATATAAAGAATCTATTGGTTTTGATTAGAGATTGATCATATGCCTTATTTAATTAATCCCATCTTGCAATGATTGATCTCTTTTGCTAGTTTTTCAATATTTTGGCTTTCTAAATAAATACCCAATTGATCCTATACAAGAAAGGATCCATTATATCAAGCAAAGGATCAATCCTATCCCTTGAGTGATCAATCAGATCAAGTTAGGTGGTTGTCTCATATTTTGCATTTTACTCAATGATTTGATAATATCTTAAGTTATACAACTATAAATAAAAAATCATTTAAAGATTTTGAAACTAAACTTAAAGAGTTTTCTATCCATATTAAATTCATTATCTCATTCATTGTATTTGAATTATAGTGAATTTTGAAAATAACCCCTTATGTAGTTTTTAGACAATTGCATAATATCTAGGAAAAATTTAAAATATTTTCTTAAAAAATTTAGATTTAGATTTTATTTGATCAATTAGAAAGTAGACTCAAAGAAAATTTCAATTATATAAAATTCGGATATTAAAATTTTGTAAATTAATACAAAAAAATAAAATAAATTCAATGTTGAAAAACTTTGTTTTTGTAAAACAACTATTTTAAGTTAATTTATTTTTCAAAACTAATATTATCAAAATTGTTTTGAGCCAAAAATGAATAAATTCATTTTAAAAATAACAATTAGACTTTTATTTAAACTTAAAAAATAATGTTTAAAAATAGTTTTAATTTTAAAAATAAAAAAACATAAAAAAAATGTTGATTAAACTTTAAAAATTATATTATTTATTTAGTACCAAAATAATATAACTTACGAATTTGTATTGAATAAATATTTTTAAAAATTTTAATCAAGCTTATTTAAGTAAATATTTTATTATTTCAAAATAAATATAAATTTAAGGCTAACACATATTCTCTCTTTAAAACAAATCAATTCTCTCTCTAACCAAACCAAACCTCCTTAGCATTTTTCAATTTTTCTCTGCCAGCTTTAAACTTAAGAACAAAATTCAGAAATAAAAAATAAACAATATGTTCCACCATTAATTGTCAGCCTTTGCGTATTTCTTCCTCTATGTGGTACTGTTCTTCTTTGTCCTTATCTACCCAATACCCAACAAAAGCTCGATAGTTGATAAAAATTGTCGCTACCTTATTCTTTATTTAAACATTCCAAGACACAAACTAAAATCCAAAACTCTTTAAATCATTTCTGTCATTGTTCACCATTGAAGAACCTTAAAATAATATTTTTTATTCTATTCAAAACCCCTAAAGAAAAAAGCCTCACAATTGAAAAAAATTGAAAACTCTTATAATAAAAACTTTTTATTTTGTTTTCAATTTTATCAATGGGTATTTTGTTGTTAATTTATGTGCTTATGATTGCTTACCAATAAGTGATTGTTGATTTTGCATTACCAAATGGATTTTTTTTTTTTAGGTTTGATTAATTGTCAATTTTGAAATCATTTATTGTTGATATGTGTTAAGGTTTTGTAGGTGGATTCTTTGCCGTTTATTTTGTGAATTTTGGCTTTGAATTACTTGCTATTTTTTTTTTTTGGATTGTTAAATTCAAATGAGCATTTACTGCTAAATTGCTTAAGATTACTCAATCCAAATTTCTTCTATTTTGATTCTATGTTTGTTTACGTTTTGCCTTTGCTCAATTGTCTGAGTTTTACTAAATAAAAAATATTGTTTGTTAAAAATGACTTTGATTGAGCTGTTAAATTAGTAAATTTATTCTCCCTCTAAAAATAAATTAATTATCTAAAATCAAACCAAACCAAACCATTAGAGAAAGAATTAGATTGATTGTAAAAGGAAGGAATAAATTTTTAAAGAAAAAAATGAATTGAAATGAGAAAGAAAGAAAAAAAAAAGTAACGAAATAAAAAATAATAAAATAAATATCACATTTTAAACTTAAAAAGTACTTTTTATTTTTATCTTAATTAAATTTATGAAATTATGAAATTTATTAAAAAAAATAATACAATTATTTTAAAATATTTTTTAATAAATATCTATATATTTTATTTATTTATTTATTCGTTAAAGTCTCTACCGACTATCATCTTGTTGCCATTAATGAGATATTGACGTAACAAGGCTGATGCAAAATTGTGAAACGGGCGTCGGTCTCAGTCGGCATGTGACAATTGCACCTGCATTTAAAATGAAAAGACCATTGACGCCCACAGTTATAGTTGCCAGCTGTTTGCAACTTGCTGGGAAAACTCTGAATTTTAACTTGTTTCCAACATTAGAAGAATCTCAGGTCAACATTTTTTTTGGCAAGGAATCTCCGGTCAAAATTATTTATTATCGGTTGTTTGCTTTTTCAGGTGCCCTGTCTGATTGTTTGCAGCTTATCGTGGCAAATGGATAAAAATGGAAGGAGAGTTTTAACCGCAATTACGCAAGTACTTGATACAATAAAAAAAATAAATTTTATCGAAAATTTTCAGCTTTAGTATATTTTAATATAAATTTATTAATTTAAAAAAAGATAATTTAAATAATTGATATAATTTATTAACTCTATTAACATAATTTAAATAATCATAAAATTATTCCTTAAATCTAAATTTATTATATTTAAACATGTTATTTTTTATTTTATATGTTTATTAGACATATAATAACAAAAAATATTTTTATTTAAATATTATAACTTAAAGTTTACTTATTATAAATAATTTTAATTTAAAATTAATAAATTTATCATCATTATAAATTTAAATTTAATATATTTTATGAATATTATAATAAATAAAATTGAATTGAAAAATCCCATTGAGATTATTTTCTTTTTTTTTAACAAAATTATTTTTTATATTATATTTCTTATTTTTTTATTATTATATGTCAAAATAATATTATATGCTTAATATATTTATTTTGTTATGTATATATATAAGTTTTATTTATCTATATGTTGTATCTAATATAATTTTGATATATTTTTTCTCTCTAAAATTAAATCAATTCTCCTTATAACTTTTCTCAACTTCACTTTTTAACCAAACTAAACCTCCCGAGCGTCCTCCAACTTATTTATACTAGCTTTAAACTAAAGAACAAAACTTAGAAATGAGTTAAAAAACTACCATCTACTTCGCCATTAATCGTTGGTGTTGGCCTCATTCTTTTTTTGTGTGGCGCCATACCTCTTTTGTTTTATCTATCTAATACCCAGCAAAAGTTCAATATCTGATAAAAGTTATCGTCACCTTTTTTCTCAATTTGAACATTCCAAAATAAAGACCAAAACTTAAAAACTTTCAAACCATTTCTATTACTATTCATTACTCAAGCACTGTAAAGCAATATTTTTTATTCTATTTCAAAACTTTAAGGAGAATAGCTTCACAATTGAACAAATATCAAAAACCCTTATAATGAAAATTTTTTTATTTTATTTTTGATTTTTTCTACAGATATTTTGTTGCTAATTATATGTCTATGATTACTTACTAATAAGTGATTGTTGATTTTGCATTATCGAATGGGTTTTTTTTAGGTCTAGTTAATGGTTGATTCTAAGGGCACTAATTGCTAAGCTGTGTTGTGGCTTTGTAGGTGGATTTTTTGTTGTTTGTTTTGTGGATTTTAGTTTTGAATTGTTTGCTGGTTATTTTTTTAAGTTATTGAATTTGGATAAGTATTGATTGCTGAATTATTTAAGATTATTTACTGCCTAAATTTCTTCTTTTTTGGTTTCACGCTTGTCTGCGTTTTGCCCCAATTTGCTCAATTGTTTGAGCTTTACTGAATCAAAAATATTGTTTGCTACAAATGACATTGACTAAGTTTTTGGATTGGTAAATTCATTCTTTCTCTCTAAAACCAAATTAGTTATTTAAAGTTAAACCAAACTATGAAGGAGAGATTTGGTTTGGTTTTAGAGAAAAAGAATAAATTTTTAGAAAAAAATTGAATTGAGATGAAGAAGGAAGAAAAAAATAAAAAATAAAAAAAATGAAAATAATAATAGAGTAAAAATAATACAATAAATCATAAGATAATTAAATGTTTAAATCTCAAATGTACTTTCATTTCAACATTAATCACATATTATATTTATATAATTTACTTAAAAAAATTAATATGATTATTTTAAAACAATACTTTAGAGGGTGTTTAGTTTGTGAAATCTTATATTTCAGAAAAAAATGTGATCCTCATAAAAGTATGATATTTGAAATTTTCTTCTATTTTCAGGATATTTTATGGTCAGATTTATTTGTTTGGTTAAGGAAAATCTAAGTATTTTAATTCTTGAATAATTATAATAATTTTCTTGACATATATACCAATTTTAAAATCAGGTTTGATTCCAATCACAGTCACACTCATTCATCAATTTTTTTAGTGTAAAACATTTGGAACTTGGAAACAAAAACTTTTTTAGGACGTTTTCGAACAAAAACATCTTAAAAAAGCTTTTTTTTTATTCATTTAGAACTTGGAAGGAAGTTTTTTTAAGGTAATTTTCAATAAAATATCTTAAATGATCTTATTTTATTTTTTAATAAGATTATTTAAGACGTTTTTTTAATCCAAATGCCTTAAATGATCCAAGTACCTTAAATGATCATCATTTAAAGTGTTTTGTTTTTAAATGTCTTAAATAATTATCATTTAAAGCATTTTTAATCCAATATTTATTTAACTAATGGTTATTTAAGATATTTTTTTTATGTCAAACACCATTAATTATAATATAAAAAAAATTTAGCAGTATAAACTTATAATTGATTTACAATCACTTCTAAATATAATTTTTAAAATAGTAACAGTTAATTTTATATATTTGTTATTTATATTAAATTTAAAAATAACATAATTTTTTTTCATCAAATCTTAGAATATTATAAAAAAAATGTGAATTTTTGAATTTAAAATTTTAAATATTATTAAAAATTTATCATTTTTTTAAATCAAATATAAAAATTAAATATCTATTAATAAAATTTTGGACAAAAATTTATAAATTCTTTCCAACCAAACATCTCCTTAACGATTATTTATTAATTTTATTTATTTATGAACGGGTCTACCAACTCATCTGGTCGCTATAAAGGAGATATTGACGCAACAAGACTGCTCACGGGTGTCGGTCCCAGTCGGCATGTGACAATTACACGTCCATTTAAAAAGAAAAAGATCGTTGACGATGGACAACATTTATACTTGCCAGCTGTTTGCAACTTGCTGTGCAACTTGCTGGGAAAACTCTGAATTATGGCTCGTTTCCAACATTAAAAGAATCTCAGGTCAACATTAATTATTATTGTTCGGTTGTTGCTAATTTATAGGTGCCGTGTCTGATTGTTTGCAGTTTATTGGGCGGCCTCCGGGCAAATGGATAAAAAAAATTATAATTTTAAGTTTACTTTAATAAAAAATTTTAATTTAAAATTAATAAATTTATTATCTTTATAAATTTAAATTTAATATATTTATGAATATTATAATAAATAAAATTGCATTGAAAAATCTCATTGAGATCCTTTCCTTTTTTTCGAACAAATTTTTTTCATATTACGTTTTTTATTTTTATTATTATATGCTTAATACATTTATTTTGTTATATATATATATACACACTTATAATTGTAGGTTTTATTTATATATATGTTATATCTATATTTTTTAATTATTAATAGTTTTCCTATATTTTTAAAAAATAAAAATAATTTATTATAATAAAAATATTATTTCATATGAATATTTGAATATATTAATTTTTAGATTTAAAATGATTTTTAATTGAGTTTTTTTTTTAATCTAAATAACCAAGGAATAAATAACAAAAAGACCAACTGGTTCAGCAAAATTAACAAATTTGAGGCCAGATTAATGTATTAGTATTGAATTATACTGATTAAAAAAACAAGTAAACTGTAGGAACAACTTTCCGATACACTGCTGCTATGTGAATCCGACATTCAAACCAAGTTAGACAGACAGAGAGACACAGAGCCAGGACTTGACATGCAGGAGGAACCGAGTCGTCCGATGATCATAGTAGTGAGAGGAAAACCTAGCTCACGCCCTGGAAGAAGCAAAGTAGCCACCCAACTAGCCAATTACCTTAGGTACCCCCTCTTTGACCAAGATGATCTCGCCCCAGCTCTTCAGGACTCCCTTCCGTCCTCTTCTCTCCAACCCCCGCAGTCTGCATCCCAAAACAATCTTAGCGACTCATCTTTCAAAATTTTGCAACAGATTGCCTCAGCTCAGCTCAGGACTTCGAAACTCGGGGTTATCATCAACTCGCCCCTCACTAATCACTTCCATCTCGATCAATTGAAGCAGCTGGCAAATTCTCAAGGCGCTGAGTTGATGTTGATTCAGTGTCAACCCCCGGATGAGATCGATGATTATGATGTAGGACAGCGAGGTCGTAAGATCACGGTTGACACCAACGAGTTCCATATGGAAGAATTTGTTTCTGAACATCTACTACGTGTACGTCCTTTACCCCGATCGGTAGCCTTGCAACCAAACATCGGGAAACTTAATATCCCAAAAGGTAACCTCGTGAAAACTCCATCTCTGAGAACTGCCAAAAGAGTAACAGAAAGAATACCTCTCCGACACTTGCACGCGTTGACCTATAAGCCAAAGAACAATGAAGGCGGAGCACTCCACTGCAAATGCTGTCAAAATGAAATTTCAGGTCCCTTTTATCAATGTCTTGATTGTGACGAGTACATCTTTGATAAAGCCTGCGCTGAATCCCCTGATTTAGATCAAGTTCGACAAAACTGCCCTGATTATCTTAAAGCAAGGGAACCCAAGGAGTATCGATTTTCAGAGATATGTAAGTGCAACATATGTGAAGAAAAGAAATTGTCCTTCCTGGATTGTCACGATTGCCTCTTTCAAACCAACATGAAAAGTAAATTCCTGCCAATTGTTGTTAACCATGAATCGCACGCACATCCCCTTAATCTTATTATCATTCCTCCTTCACTTAACTATGAGTATGGATGTTGTGGCTGCGGTGAATTTGGCAAGTCCATTAGCTACAGATGCTATGATTGCAACTTCAATTTGCACGTCGGTTGCGTTTTATTACCACGCACTGCTTCTAGTAAACACGATAAGCATACTCTTAGACTTACCTACGATGCTCTTGACCATAATTTCTGGGACAAAAGTTATTGTGTAGTTTGCAAAAAGGAAAGAAACCCAGAACAATGGTTTTACTTCTGTCCAATATGCGACACCGTAACTCACATCGGTTGTGCCCGTGCGACAGATTAGTCAATTGCATGATTAATTGGCAGTACAAGGTGGTTTCTCCGGTTGCTCTTTCAATCATTTTGGAGCTTTGGAACCGTGCATGATCATTGCAAATTAGTACTATATATGAGAATTTAACAAACTGATTGCTTAATTTCTTTGTTTTGTGGAATCAACTTCATAGAAGAGCTTTGTATAAACCTTAAGTAATCTCTTTAATATTTCTAATGCTTTTCGATTATGAATCATGTGGATTTTTCCATTGATTACCAATTTAAATCCTTGTCATAAAGGTGATAAATTCCATGGCGGAGCCTTCTTGAAGACCAAGAGCACCAAGATCTTTTAAATTTTTTTCAGTAACAGTTTGTTCATGAGATAATATCATACATAAATCATGATAAATGAAGTTTTTTATTATTCATTTTTTTGTTTTATTTTGTTCACTCATTTAACATTCGTGCTCCATCCATTTCAGTTCCAACCTTTTAATTTTTGAAATATTATTTTTACTCTTAAATTTTAATTTATTCATAAAAATAAAAATAATGAAAAATTACAATTTATTTTAAAAAAAGTTTCATTTTTTTGCTTTACTAACCAAACGAATCCAACAAACTATTTTATATTTAAAGCGAATATAATAAGATCTTGATCTGGACCAATCGGAATTTTACCGACCAAACGGGTTTGATTTTCGATTTCCTGGAGCCTTAAGTTTAGGGAGATGCTGGGCTCTTTGAAAAGGCTGCCTGTACGTGAATAAAAAACTTACTTTATTCTAAGAATATTGGTTTACTTGATTCTAATAACATTGGTTTATTTTATTTATAAAATATTATGACGTTAATGATAAAAAAAATATTTTAATTAATGATATTTTATAAATAAAATAAATAATCAGTTAACATATTTAATTTTTTTGCTAAAAGTATCATTTATCATTTTAGATATTTATTAATAATAAAATAAAATAAAATTTTTTTATCATATATATAAAAATATTATGATAATTATATAAAAATTAATATACATTAATTTTTTAAAATTAAATAAGTGAATTTAACTATGAAACACTTTAAAAAAAAAAAAAAAAAACTCAAAATATCATAAATTCTAAAAAATCACACTGTTTTTTAAATTCAAAATTCAACAACCCAACACTAAATTATAATCGATCGACTAAACTTAACATACATCGAGGTTTTCTTGAAATGCTCTACTCTTTTATTTCTTTGTTTTTGTCAGGATTCCGTACTTTTCAAAGGGTTTATTAAAGTTCAGATAAATAAAAAAAGACATTGACCTTATGGGAGTCTATCACATACTCAAACTGACACGCAAAAACGAGGCTTCTCCGTGACCACAACTGTTTAAAATACACATTTTGTCTTTCTCCTATTTACTTTTTTATAAAAGATAAAATTATCAATTTAATACTTTACTTTCATTCCTTTTTATCTATTTTAATTTTTTAAGTTAACGCTGTTACTGCAAGTTAACTGATTGATACATACAAAAAAATTAATCAACATTATATCATTAATTACAATGTTAATATTAAAAAATAATTTCAAAAAAATTTTAAATATTTTTAAAAAAATCTTAAATAATTTAAAAAATTATAATAACTTTCAAAAAATCTAAAATATTATTTAAAATTATAAACAATTAAAAGATTATGAAAATTTAAAAAAAAATCTAAAAAATTGAACAGAATTCACACTTAAATATATTATATTTTGATATAATTGAAGTATACTACTTTGTACAACTAGAACGGAAACAAAATTAACAATTTTAATATTATCTTACTATATTTTAATAGGTAGCATAAATAATAAAATAATTTATTATATTAAATTTCATAAATGTCTGTGATTAACTCACTATAAATTTATGATGATAATGAACCATAAAAAATGAGTACTAAAATATTATATTTTGTTTGTTTTGTAAAAATTGGTTTTTAGAAAATATTTTTAGGAAATTGTTTTCATTTTTTTGGAAAAGTAGAGATATTCTATTATTTATATGAGTTAATAAAAATATTTTAAATAATCCCTTTATATTTTTTAAATGGTTAACAACTATCATATATATAAAAAAAATTATAATAATTATTCAATATTTAATATATGTAAATTTTTTCTAATAAAATAAGTGAATTTAAAAACAAAATATCCTAAAATTAAAAAAAAAATTCAGATATTATACTTTTTCAAAAATCACACATTCCTCTAGAATCTACGATTCGCAAACTCAATGCCTCCTAAGATATATAAATTACTTGAATTAATTTGGATGGACTAAATTACAAAGATTTAAAGTAATATAAGATGATATGATTGTGGTATTAATAACTAACTAATAATACCACATCAACATGCCGTTAAACAATAATTGTTGAATAAAAAAAATACTTATTTAAAGAGTAAATAGTATTTATGGTTCTTAAATATTGATTTAAATTTTATTTTAATCTCTAAACTTTAAAAAGTTTTAATCGAATCTTTAATTGTCTCAATGTTATCAATGTAATCCTTCTATCTATTAGATCATTTAAATTAATAAAAAATCTTATATGACATGACACATAACCTTTAATAAGTTAAATATTTAAAATTTTAAAATTAACTTAAACATGTATAATTAAAAAAATATTAAATTAACTCAACAAAAATTTACTTCTTATTGATTGGTTAAATACATGTAAACTAACTTAACATATGTATTAACTCATAAAAGAATTTAGCAAAAATTCTCTATTACTCATGTATATATTTACTAATAAAAAATTATAAATCAAGATAACTCCAAATTCTTTCCAAGATTCAATTTTTTAATTAAAAAAAGATAAATAACCCAACTTTCTTGTAATCATATATAATAAAAAACTTCATTTTTATGGGTAATAGGAAAAACCCATAAAATATCAGTACAAGACACCATAAAATAGAAATTGATAAGTTGTCTTTGTCATCTTAAACATCAATCAATGCCATTAACCCAATGCTCAGATATGGAACAAATGAAAATAATTTCATCAATTTTTTTTTAAAATTTTTTTGTTTTTTATTTTAAATTTTAGAGAGAACAAAGAACAAGATGGAGGAGAAAAGTTGAATTAACTATTTGATCTAGTCTTTTGCATTTCATTTGACGAAAGTAGAGCTGTTGTTGAACTTCAATTTTTGATGCGGATAGTGGAAGGGCCATATGCTATACTTTCAAGTGGTTGATCTGGATTGCTAGAGGAAGAAAGGACAAAAAAAAAAAAAGGAAGGTAAAAAAAAAGTATGATAAAAAAAACAAAATCAAGTTACAACATATTGTTGATTTAGGTTTTTTTTCTTTTTTTTAGTTTCACATTTTTTTAATTATATACATTTAAATTAATTTTAAAATTTTAAAAATTGTGTTATAACATATAAAATTTTTTGTTAATTTAAACAATCTCATAAACAAAAAGATTAAATTAATACATGTTTAAATAATTAAAGATCTGATTAAAAATTTTTGAAATTTAAAGATTAAAATAAATTTTGATTCAAATTTTAAAAATCATAGATGTTATTTATCTTTTTTAATTTAAGTAATTAAATTAAAAAATAAAATAATTATTGTAAAATAAACCATCAATTTTATTTGCGTGTTTTATTATTTATTTATTTAATTACTAAACCCTCAACGAACTTTACTGTCATCATAAAGAAGATATTAGATGCATAATTGTGTCATTGGTGTCATCTGCAAGCATTTAATTTAATGATTAAAAATATTTTAAAAAACATTAAAAATTTCATTTTGAATCAAATTTCTTCTTTTTCTTTTACATCTATTAAAATTTTATCCTCAAGTAATAAAAAAAATTGTGTCACGGGCGTCGGTCTCACTTGGGACGTGACAATTGCATGGCCATTTGAAAAACAGATGATAATTAACGCTGGGACCACAGTTCTACTTGCCAGCTGTCTGCAAGTTGCTGGGAAAACTCTAGTTTCTAATATTTAAAAAATGTCACGTCAACATTAATTGTCATCGCTATCTGCGTGCAACTTGGTTCTTTGCTAATTTTTAGGTGCCTTGTCTGATTGTTTGCAGTTTATTGGCCGGCCTCGGAGCAAATGGATAGAAATGTCAGGTGAGTTTTAAGCACAAGTACTTGATACAATTAAAAAAAAAAATTTTTATCGAAATTTTTTAGTTTTAGCATAATTTAATATAAATTTATTAATTTGAAAACTAGATAATTTAAATAATTAACATAATTTATTAACTCTAATAATCTAAATTAAATAATTATAAAATTATTCCTTAAATCTAAATTTATGATATTTATATATTTTATTTTTTATTCTATATGTTTGTTGGATATATAATTTAAATTTTTTATCGTATATATTTCAATTTAATATTTTTATTAATTTTTTATTCTTTATTATAATTTATTTTATCATCATTAATTTTTTTTGTCGAAACATATATTATATAATGATTTTAATTTTGTCATTATAATTTTATTTTTGTTATTATTTTTAATTTCATCAAAATTAATATAAAAATTAATTTTAAGAGTAGGTTTCGTTGGAAAAAATTTACAAATTTTTTTTTCGAAATTTTAATGATAGACATTTGAATTTCATATTTTAT